GCACAAACATCCCATGTGTGCTGAAATCTGTGCATGGGCCAGCGAGAGGGGAAGGACACACTGGCTGTGAACCATCTCCAAACATTGTACAAGTCCTATGTCTCCTCCCAGGTGTGGGCTGATGGTCACCATAGCCACCAATCTTCTTCTCTGGCTCCTGGCCGTGACCAACGACACCCTGCACGTGGAGATCGAGTCTCAGCTGCGCGAGGTGCAGCGGCGATTCGCAGGCAAGGCTCCTCCTTCACATCCCCTTTGGTGTTAGGCTGACACAGGTGACTTCTAGGGAAACAACATTTCACAGAACCACAGAATATACTGAGTTGGAAGGGACCCATAAGGATCAGCAAGTCCCTGTGCAAGACCATCCCCATATAGTCCACCATGTGCCCCAGAGTATTGTCCAAATGCCTCCTGAACTCTGTCAGGCTTGGTGCTGGTGCATTTCTCTGGGGAGCCTCTGGGTCTCAGTGATTCAGATATCTCCAGTTCCCCCAAATGCTACAACTTCCCTGTTATTAGAAGTTGTCTCAAGGAAATGGTCTACAAGGGGAGATTGTCACCTGGAGGGAGGGAATCTGCTATGAAACCCTGAAACTGAGGGCTAGGAAAGGAAAGGCACACCATAAATTAGCATGTTTACTCACTTTTCCCTATTAACTGCAAGCACAAGATTGCCAGACTAGAAGAGTGCCGCGCTCCCGCCCCAACTCCACAGAAGAGGCTAATGTAATTTCTGTGGTCTTCTTTCTGAGGATATAGAGGAACAAAGGGAAATCTAATATTCCAGAGGGAGAAATAGAGAAGGCTTTGTTGTGAAGGAAGATGAGTCTCTCACCCAGTATCTATGGTGTTGACCATAGGTAGGAAAAGACATTAGCTAAGTAGTGTTATTGAGAATCCTCATATCCTTTAGGACTGAGCAGTAGCCATTTTACTTCCTTCTTATCCCTGTTTCTGAGACACAGACACACATGTTGTGCCTGCACACATGAAACTCCCAAAGACAGCCGTGACATCCAGGTCATCTCCCTCTTAATTGTCACCTTCCCCTTCTCATGCTCCAGGCAATGGGACTACCTTGTGCACATGCCCAAACACAACCATCTGCAAAGTCTTCCAGAAGGGCTACATCCTGCTCTACCCCTTCAACACTGAGTACTGCCTGGTCTGCTCCTCCGTGCTCTACGTCATGTGGAAGAATGTGGGGAGACGCATCAGCCACGACCACATCCTGAACACCAAGCCCAAATTCAAGCTCCAGGGGGTGGTCTTTGGGCCACTGCTGGGCACCAGTGCTGCCATCATCGGGGCTTGTGTCTTCATGATGTACCAGATCCAGGTCACCAGCTTGGTCCCCAGCCACCAGGTCACTGTGATCTATTATTCCTACTACATTGTGCTCCTGCCCCTGATGAGTGTGGGTGCCGTGATTGGGACAATCATCCACGCCTTAGAAAAAAAGGAGCTGGACACGCTGAAGAACCCAACCCGCAGCCTGGATGTGGTCCTGCTGATGGCAGCAGCCCTTGGCCAGATTGGCATGTCGTACTTCTCCATTGTGGCCCTGGTGGCCACTGACCCCAGGGACCCCCTGAACAGCCTCGCCCTGTCCTACTCTGTCCTCCTCATCTTTCAGAACATCACCCAAAATGTTTTTGTCATCGATGGGCTCCACCGGCGGCATGTTGCAGCAGCAGCTGAGGCCAAACATGCTGGACACTCTGGGCAGCACACGGTGGCTGTAGAGCTGCCTGGGGAAGAGGAGACCACGCTGAACAGCAATCAGGAGCACAGCCAGACACCTCCTGCCAAGGAGGAACACACTAAAGAAGAGCAGAATCGTGAAGCCTACAGCCAGAGGCGAGTGAGCATGCTGGAGCTGGGACAGGAGATGCGGAAAGCTTCCCTGTCCTACATCCATACCTACTCTCACCTGAGCTGGAAGAGAAGAGCATTGAGGGAGATCTCATTCTTCTTGGTTTTGTGCAACATCATAGTAAGTATTGTGTTCTCTGTTCCGTCACAGCTGCGGCTGAGCCACAGTGACCTGTGACACAGACATTACCTCTTTGTCTTTCTTTTGTATTCCAGACAAAAAACCTTTGCCCACCAAGTTTCAACTGGTGAGGCAAGTCAAAACTGGTTTTGCTGTTAAATACCCCACCCTCATAATCAGTGTCCTGGTTTGACACTCTCTCTTTTACCCTTAGAGTCAAGTATTACTGGATTTTATGGGTGCAGGAAGGAGACAGTTAATAAATCCTTACTTGCCAAGATTTTAGCCTCTGAAAAAAACCCACTAGGCTCATTAAGGGTGTTTAATGAGAAACGTGAAAGAAAATGTGAGGCACCAGCATTAAGTCTCTGTAAACATGCGTCTCCAGGCTTGGGACTCACCCAGTAAAGTACACTGTGGTCTGGGATCTTGAACCAATGCTGCAGCCTTAATCCAGTGAAAACCCATTGCCCAGGGAAACAATGAAACCCTGTAGAAAGATGAAGCAGACTAGGGCAGAATGGGACTGTCTTTAGGTTTCCAGGGATTCAAAAAGATTTGATTTACAGCAAGGAGTCAACAGCATAACTATGGGATTTTCCTTCTCCTCCCTGGCAAGGAGGCTACTGTGATACTCCTGAAATATTCCTACAACTCTTGAGCCAGTGCTGAGATTAGGGTGCAAGTAGGGCACAGTTTGTCATCCTCTGACTTATGTTTCTTTTCCTCACATCTCTCCAGCTATGGGTCATGCCCACATTTGGGGCTCACCCCATCTTCGAGAACGGAATGGAAAGGTCATTTTATGGCTACTCCACCTGGTTTGCGATCGTGAACTTCGGGCTCCCCTTGGGTGTGTTTTACCGCATGCACTCAGTCGGGGGGCTCCTGGAGGTCTATGTGACAGCCTGAGCCAAGCTGGACCCCCACCCCAGGGGCTGGGGGGAATCAGTGATGCTGAACAAAGATGCAGTAAGAAGCATATCTGCTGCTTACAGCATCTTTGTTCAGCAAGAAGTGTTCTAAAGAACAAAGAAGAATCTTTCTTCTTTAGAAGTGGAAACTTCTGAAGATTTCTCTCCAGCTTCTGCTTGGACTTCTTGTACAATATCACCATTAATTTCAGAAGAGATTCTTTCATATTATCGTTTTCCACCATAGAGAATAGACTCAAAGCCCATAAACAAACTCTCACTGCTCTCAGGAATCACGCATGCAGTCAGCAGTCTGCCGGTGGATGCTGTTTGGCAGCAGATGGGACTTTAATGACTCCTATTGAGATCTTCCAGATAAAAGAACGCAAGGGCAGCCTTCAGCAAAAGCAGCGAAGATCAGCCTGCACCAATTCAGAAAATCAAAAGCAATCAAAAAATAAAAGCTATAACATAACCTTGTCTTACTGAGAATAAATACTACTTCTTCCTACAGGCACTCCAAGAGCTTCTACTGGGAATCACTAGGGTAGCACTGTGGGTGATCTTTACTCACCACAGATGATGGCTTCACTGGTGTGGACTAGCCAAGGTGCCATCCTTGCACACAGAGCTAGTTCGAGACCAAGCCACTGCCACATCCACTGTGAATTTCTCCCCACCCCAACACGTTGGCCCTTGCTGCTGCCTTCACATCCACAAACCTTTCTCGAGGTCACCATGCACAACAGAAGGCAGCTGCAGTGAGGTGCCTGATCAAAGACACATTAGGATATGTTCCATAGGGATGCCTGCTTTGAAAGACGTGGGAGAGCAAGGGTCTTGTGACTGTGGGTCTCAAATCCAGAGCCTGATGAACACAAATAAAGAGATTGAATTTTCATGTGTGTCTTGGGAAATCTCTGGGCCCACTCTGCACTCAATGTGCTCAAGGTCAACTCACTTAAATCGCTCTTGCATTCAGAGGTTGCATGGGGCTCTGAGCAACCTGGCCTAGAGGGAATTCCTGCCCACAGCAGATGAGCTTTATGGTTCCAACTCAATCATTCTGGGATTCTATGAGATTTAAGAGCAGGCCTGCTCTATAATCAATCAAAATCTCTCATGACCCGTACTCAAGTATGGCACAAAAAGCATTCTCATTATTGCTTCTGTTCCTTTGTAAATTAATCCCAGGGTCAGTGTGGGTTTAGGATTAGAGCCTATTTATTGTTTTTTTTTGGGATTGCCTAGTAAAGCAAACTCTCCCAAGACATAAATAGTGAGGATTCAGCATTCAGGCAGTGATGGCACCTTTCTGTAAAACTCTAAGTGAGACTGATTGCATGAGCATGAACTTTGCCCAATAAGTGTTTGTATTTGGGCCCATGTCAACAGAAATATGTCATGAGAAATAACAGCTGGATAAATTAGGCTCTGATAAAGTTAATTATTATTCTCATGTCAGTGTTTATACCATGGGATCCACAGGACATACACACTAAGGTCTGAGCTCAAACCTTCTTCATGGTGATTGACAGCCTGGGGACAAGGAAGATGGCACTTTGTGGGCAAACCATTACTTGGATTTTATCCAGTTTAATGGATAAAACACTGGTTTAAATTACTGAGCTTTCACAGAGCAGGTGACTTGGGAATGAACACTGAATACATGACTGGAGACATGATCAGCATGGACAGGAATGAAGCCCACCAGCTCCAACTCTCACCTACAGCCACCACAGATCAGATAAACAGTCAAGGCCCTCCATGTCCTTTCCTAACAACCCCCAGGGCCAGGGTGCCTGTTTTACAGGTCTCAACTGCACAAAGGTTTTAGCACATGGTTCACTAATCAGGAGATTTGATCCTGTTTGATCTTTGATGATGCTATGAACACGGAAATGGCCAAACCCACACAATTCAGGCTCATTTCCCAGAGTCAAATATTCTTTTATGATTATAAAAAAAAAATACCATTGCAGAGGAAGCCAGCCCATGGTCCCCTAATGGCACAAACCACTTCAACATAAGACAAACAATATTATAAACCTCCCTCTGCAGAAGGGAAAAAAAAAAAAGTACCCAAGTGCATGTTTCAGTTAATCTTTATCTTTCTGTCTGTAAGTAAGCAAAGAGTTTACAGTGCAAGTTGATTTCCACAGGACAAGGATCAGACTCCAAACACCAAGAAACAAACAAAACGGCTTCCAGAGGAACTCACAAAGAAACAAAGCAGAAAAGAGAGGATGGAAGAGATCATGAGAACCAGCAGATCCATGGGAGGGAAGAGGCAAAGCACGTGGGACACGGGAGGCCCCGTTCCAGCTGTGAGGTGCGAGTGCCATACAATCAGAGCCTGGCCCCACCAAATCACATTCTTATACATGAGGTTCTCCAAGTGAAACAGAGCCCTCACCCTGTTTACACCTGAACAGAGGTGAGGTCAGGATGGGAGTAGTGCTGGGTGGCAAAGTGGGTTGGAGATGGGAGGCAGGTGGGGGAATAACCTCTCTCTATTTCACATATTTCTTATCCTTCAGAAAACCATTCCAATTTTATTTCACTTTCTACTGGCCTAGGACTCCATTTTCTTTCAACCACCAGACTATAGGCAGCTGTCTGGGAGAGAATGGTGATGCTGTTACCACTGCAGCTGCAAAGCTTAGGCCAGCAGTGTGTGCCACACTGTCCCTGTACTGAATGTGACAGACCTGTTTCCATGCAGTGATGCCACTGGGTCTAACCTGTGGCAAACAGCTCAAGGCCAGCAGTCCTCCCAAGAGCCTGAATAAAAGAGCACCAAGGATTATGCTTTGATGGAAAGGTCTCAGTTCATGACAGGACTCCTCACATTTCATTGCCTACAGACCATGTGAGTCTAAGACAGCAGCCCCTACCAGCAGAACATAAAATTTGACTCAAACCCCAGGGTGTCTCCACTCACCAATGTGTAATCGCACGATGCTGAACCAAGCCAGCAACAGTGGATCTCCCACCAATTTCCATTCTGGCTTCCCAAAATTTACATGTGCTTGGGACCCAATACATTCAAGATCCAGTAACTTGGTCAATAAGCAAAATGCCCTGAAGAATTTCACTTTGCCTCAGCACTTTCCACTCCCTACTAACATGGAGATGCTTTTCCTCCTACAACTTCCAAACTCCTCCTACAACTTCCCTGAGTGCCTCCCTCAAACCCTTGCCTTAACAGTAGTGTGCAAAAGATCCTTCTGCTCCCTGCATTGCATCAACCTGCCAGGCAAAGATGGAAGGATATGGTTCCTTTCAAACCCAGGTGACAGTGTCCTTTTAGCCACAGGAGAAGACTTAAAAGAGTTTAAGTCAGGTCTCTTCTCCTTGCTCTCACTGAGCCAGTCCCTTCCTCCAGTGTGCTCACATGGATTAAAGAGGGCCTTTAAAAGTAAGACAGGCTCCTTTGCAACAGTCCACCATGAAGGACAGGCTGCTGGGCTTGAAAGCCAAGGAAAAACTTCTGAGCCACACCAACAAAACTTCTCAAGCAGCTTTCCAGGAAAGGACTAGAGAGATTCAGAACTGAGACACAAAGTTTTCCTTCAACATCTTCTCCTTTCATTTAGGTGGGAAAGACTTCCCTATATGCAACTGAGACACCAGGGAGACACCTGCAGCCAGAAGGGATGCCCTGGAAACTCTATGGAGCTACATGGAAGTAACTGCAGTTTCCAAACCCTGTGTCCTGCAGGAATAGCAGCTTCTCCCTTTGCATCCAATTTACAGTTAGTATTTTTCAATTAAATGCTGACTCTGACCAGGGCAAGGACAGGGTCAGATTGGTTTTCAAACCACATTCAGAAGCAAAAGAGTAACAGAGGAGCTAAGAACAGTCTGATTTCTAGTGCAACCACAACAATGGACAATCCCTTAGATATCTTTAACTCAAGGTTTGTGGTGAAGGGTGAGGAAAGAGAAGTGAGCTGGGGGGAGGGATGTCCAAGCAGGTCCCGATTAAAGCTTTAAATGACAGGGAGGTAAATGAAGTGATTGTCCTTTTGGTCTCTCAGCTGGATGTGAAATGCAGGAATAGCTGTGATGAAGCAGCACGCCACAGTCCTTAGATCCAGTGTATTTGTCTCAGTAGAGGTTAAGTGCTCTCTTCAGACCCGTTGAATTTCAAACAGCTTAACATCTGTGTCATACCAGATCGGGGGATCCACATTCCTGAGAGAGAAAGACAAGAGCCACTTTACTCCATGTGGCCAGTTACATAGAATTCAAATCTCACAGCCATGATTACAGGAGCTGGCTGCACAGTCTTCAGCTTTGCATAAAAGGAAATCATTGGCTGAGAGACAATGCACCCTACAGGTATGACAGTATCTACAACATCCCACAAAGCCAGACCTTTGCATAAAATCTTTGCACCAGACCCTCTGGGCAGTCTTTCTATTCCCTGCTGCTGCGTGTTCCCAAACAAGCAGCACTCTCAGAACAACCTCCTTCATGTCATCCATTCAAAGTTTCGGAGCAGCTGATACACCCCAGTCTCTTCCAAGGGAACAACATCTTTCTATTCTGTAAATATGAGACAACCCAGGGCTGGCCAAGTGCATGCAATTCTCTCTGTAGACCTTCCAAAAGTCTGGAAAAGACCAAGCCAGGCTGCTCCCAGCTGGTTTACCTCAAATAAATAACTCCCCACATGTAGGTGCGGAACCACATGGCAGTGCCTGAGTTTGCCTGGTACTTGCGGATGAGGATGGGGTGAGGCACTGGCAGCAGCCCCACCAAGGTGCCATGCTGCAGGAACTTGAGGATCTCCGACTCATCCGTGAGACCCCTGCCAAGATACAGAGCAGGAACATCCTTAGCATGTCCCACAGACACCTCCAAAACTGCTGCAGCAGGAAGGACCAGCCTAAACAAACACAGATACTGAGCCATGGCCCAGGAGAACAAACTCCCTCTCCTCTGTAAACAGAGTGCAGAAGGGATCAGACAAACAAGATGTTTGGCAAGGAAAGTAAAAACTCTGCTGAGCCCAGGATGCTTTCAATTAAACTTTACAAGGTTTCCTTTAGAGGGCCTCCAAATTCAAACTCTGCCAACCTCCTTAAACACCACACAGCCCTTCCTTTCCAAAAATCTCCTTACTTGTCAATGCAGATCTTCTCCACCTGAGGGACCAGCACCTGTAAGAGCCGCATGATTGTCTGCAGGGGAAGCTTTGACTTCCAAGACATCACCTGTAGGTAGGGAAATAGCAGAGAAATCAGTACACTGCATTAGCAGGTTTTTATAGCTGTCTCCACAATCTCTGCAACAAATAAAGTTTACAGAAATCACAAAGATGGTGGGTCAACTCAGTGCACAGGAGCAATACAATAAATCATGGAGCACTAGAATTATGAGGCACCCAATAAGACCAGTGGGGCATTGGTTTGAAACAGATAAATAAAATATTTCTTTTCAGATGTCAGTAAATTAAAGTTCTGAGCTTTGACCTCAAGTGCCTGTGAGGAAATGCTGCTCTGGGAAAGCCTCTGATGGCAGGGAAGGGGCAGGGAGTGTGAGGCATTTCTGCCACGACTCTTCCTCATTATTTATCTCCTCCATCCAGATGTCCTCACCCAGTCAGGAGTTGGAGTCCACTGTCCACTGGAGGATGCACTAGACAGACGCCTTCGTTCCCGCCGGGAATGTGATGCCTCCTATCAATAAACATTATTTTTAAAAAAATAAAAACCAACAAATGCAAATCACACTTAAGAGTAAGAAATACAATCCATTTTCTGCTGATATACTCCCCAGATTTTCTAGACCACTACTGGGAAAGACAGCTCAGCCTGTCTCTAGAACATGTCAAACCCACCCGACCTTCATTCACCAAACCCACGTGCTCTGAATGGCAATATTGATGAAGTTGGAGGACCCTGTGGAAGGTCACAGCTCCAGTCACCACTGATGACACTCTGCTGGAACAATCCACAGTGGCAGACTTAAAACAGGACTGACAAGAGACTGTTCAGAGGCATGATTCTTTCTTTTGGCACAGAGATTAAATAGCTAAGGGCCACAGATTTTTCAGCCTCTGTCTACTGAGTATCTCTGGGATTTTTGTACCCATTCTGGAATATCTTAAATAGCATTTTTCCAAGGGTAGGCTCCCAGCAATTCGTATCTAATAACTTGCCTCTTGAGGAATGACACACTCAACCTAGCTTTCCATATTCATGGTGGGAAGGAGGGAAGGAAATAACCCTCTAAAATCACTGTCAATCTCTGCACAAGGTGAAAACAGAGCAGCTTTTTCCTTTAGCAATGCTCCCTGACCATTCACTGCTACAGCACAGAGCTGGCTTTTCTACAAAAACAATGGGCACAACACTTCCTTCCAGGAGCCATCCTGCACCTCCACATAAATGGACTCATTCACTCGTCACCTCCACAACCAGAAACAGCCAGCTCAGGGTAGAGCTGTGCTAGTGCTTTTCCAGCTGGGGAACAGCTTGAGCCAGCTGCTGGACACAAATGGAAAGCCCCATGATTATGTTTCATGGGCTGTTGGAAGAAGAAAACCTTCCACAAGTTCTCAGTCAAGATCTTATTTAATGACAACATAATTAACTGTGTGCTTAAGATGTCTTGCTGGCCACAGGCTTCACCTGGTACCAGGCAAGGTCGGGAAGGGTAAGTAAAATTGGTCCTGGAGTATTTGGGGTTTCTGTACATTCCAATTTATTCAAGGCCACTCTGAGGGCAGCACCTCAGCCCAGCCTCCATGGGAACACATTGTTCACAGCACCCGCTAGCTAAAAGGTTCTGGTAGAGCTCTCCACCCCACGGGAGATGAAAAAGAAACAGCAGTAAGAACCCGAGTTGGAAACATCAGGATGAGGAGGTTTCATGGACATCTTCTGGCAATTCTGCACTCGCTGCTCTGTCATAGTCTTCATGTTCACTCAAGTGCCCCAGCTCTTGTGTCATAGCACAAACACGAAACACCCAAGATAATGCAACAGCCCTTCTGAACCACATTGTGTCCCAGCACCCTTCACGTGTGCTTACTGCCTTTAATGCGATGCCTTTCTTCAACAGGCCAACAGATCTCTTCTTCTAATCCCTTATTTTTGTTCACTTCACACCTAGACCTTTCCTGTACACCAGTGTCCAGCCTTACCCCACTCCAGGGCTCCCCATCACTCAGGGCTGCAGGTGGGTTTCCCTCTGGTGACAGCTGGGAAGCCTCAGGCTCCAGTGAACGCATGGTCCCATCCTCTGACACCTGGGACTTCTCTGTGAGCTTGTCAATCCCTGTGTTCAAAAGAGGAAAAGCTCAGAAACACAAGTTAATTAAATAGGTTTAAAAACAGAGGGCTCTTCTATGCCCCACTATGCACAGACACCCTGTGTCTCTGCTGATATTGGAAACGTTCCCCTTTCAACAAGAGAAGCAAACCCAAAGGACTTTTTCTCTACAAAAATGCTTCCTGAGGAGGAGGAGGAGGAGGAACACAGGTTCAGATGGATAGAGCTAACCCTGAGGCAACAGGTCAAGATTAAGACAAATGGTCATGTGGACACTTAAGTCTGAGAGGACAGAAACTCAAGGCAGTTTGTTTGTGATCAGCTTGGGCTAACTGATCTGAAACTCAGACTGGCAGTTAAGTTATTCACAAATGTAAACTCTTAATCTCTCCACACCCAGTGAAAGGGTGAGTCCACACTATATCCCACAGAGAAAACAAACCTCTCCTGTCCCAAAGGTAAACTAAAGCTCACCTGGAGTAGCCACCAGACTGGTCTTCAGCGTCCCTGGCTCAGCAGGGGCAGCAGGACGTGACCCTTCCATGGAGACCCCGTCCTGGGAGTTGGTGCGAGAAATGGGTTCAGGGGTTTTCTTCTTGCGCTGCAGCCCCTTCTGGATGGACTGGGAGTCCGTGGGCAGGTTGGCCAGCTGGTGAAAGACGTTCCTCTTGCGGATAACAGCATAGACCAAATTGGAGTTCCCTGGGAATCACAGCAACGAAACAAGCAGAGAAGTAAGGCTCAAAGAGCTCTGCCAACCCAGCACGGCTCGCTGGGCACACAAAGCCTGACTGCTCCCACCCAGAAAGGCAGTGGCACAGGGAAGAAGGAGCAGAGCTCAATATCCTCTTATTCGTTACAAAGCAGTACAGAAAATTCAGTGAAAGCCTTCCTAGGCTGGAAAGCTGACAAGAAATGGTTTGGTGAGGGATATTCAAACAGCTGAGAAGAAAAAGGACAGTTTAAGCTACATATTAGCATCTATTTTGGAAGAAAAGGTTACTAGCCAAGTTTCAACATTCTTCCATCTTCAAAAGAACTCACAAAACAAATCAATGCATTTAATTTGAGGAGATGCAGAACTGAAATAGCAAAGCCAAAAGGCCACAATTCTTACTGCCTGCAAGATGGCACAGAACAGAATGAAACCATCCTACAATACAAAACACAAATTACACTCAGAAAGGCTGCTTTTGGATTTGGCAATTGCCACACACAAGATTCCCATCAGGGAAGCAGAATGGCCATTCTTGATTTCCAAGCTTAAAGCAAAACATTAAATTTTGACCAGGTTAGGGACCTTACTTTACTATTTATTAGGTAAAAGACTGCCATGCTATTAACAGGGAAGGCATAAGTCATTTCCTAGAAAGTAGCAAATATCAGAACTTTCTTTGGATGAGGTGGTTTGGTCATCAGCCCCCAGAGACCTGCCAAAGCAGAACTGAGAGGCACTCGAAAGTTGTTTTGTCCCATCACCTATATTGCTGAGCAACATGAGCACTTTCACAGCAACATCCAGCCAGTCACAACTTAGGTGTTACACACTCACTTTATGCTTCTTTTCCTCTCTGTGCATCTCACCTTCTGCAGGAGGGCTGAGGTTATGTTGATAATTAGCTGCCATCTCATTTTGTTCTAACCAAATTTGCCTGGGCCAGAACCTAATGCTGATTATCTACTAACCCAATTTCTCAGTCCTATGCAGCTCATTTCTACACTTCTCACTTCTCATCTCCTTGAACTTCCTCTGAACTTTCATCTGACATTCTCTTGGACTAAATTAGTGCAAACCCACTAAATAAAGCAGTCTGTTACCATCAAACTGATACTGAATGATGTTGTTGAAAACTTCCAGCAAGAAGAAAACAAGATGATGGTTCTGGACAGCAGAGAATAGGAACCAGGTGGTGGAAAAAGCCTCCAAAAGATGTAGTAACTTGTTAGCAGCCACCATGGAGAGAGACTTCAGGTATGGAGACACTGTGGAAGGCAAAGCAAATAAAAACTATAGAAAGAACCAAGGTGTATATATTCTGAAAAATACACCACTAATACACCATGTTGTTTTTATGACCTTCCCATCCTTGCACTTCTGAGAAAGCCTCATGGAACAGCTGATCAAACGGTTCCACAGAAACATTTCCAAATACAAAGCAAATGAAACAGAGGTATTGCCTAGTAAAATTAAGTATTGCTGCTTTTAGAGGGTTTTGTTTAGTCTTACACTAATAACAGCACCTCTGCTGTGCCTCCTGAAAAGCTTCACAACTGGAGCCACCTGGGCATTCATTAGGTCCAAGGGAAGCACTGCCACCGTGAGGAGGTGACACTCCCTGCTGGAAGGGGATAGTACTGCCAACTACCCTCACCAGGCCTGCTGGCAAATGTCCTGTTGCCACCCCAAGAGAGCTCCAGCACTCTGCTGTCCCTCTTTCTGCCCTATCATCTTTCTGCCATCATCTGCCATGCAGGCAGATCTTATTTGCACTGGCCAGTGCCCTCCAGCAGCAGGCACTGGCCAGTGTTAGGGAACACAGGTAGGGGCACAGGGAGAGGGGAGTGGGAGCAGTGTGGGCTGTGGTTTTTCCCCTCACACAGTGCTCACCGTTCACAACGATGGTGAGCAGACAGTCAAAGAGGGGCTGCAGCCGCTGGTGCCCGCTGGTGATGATCTTGTGAAAGACCTGTGGAAGGAAGGAGCTCTTGAGCAAGGCAGCACCTTACTGAAAGCACCCTCTCAACCAAAACCAGTGCCACCCCCACATTCATTGCTTCCTGACACCATTCCTTCCTAGGCAGGGCCCTGCACACTCCACAATTACACAGGTGGGGAAGGCTGCTCTCACTGCAGGCTTGTGCTCCAGGAGTACAAGCTTTCATTTACAAGGCATCTTTTGGGAATGTGATTAGGGCCCTAGAACACCATAAACAGAAACTGCCTGTGAGCTGTTCAACAATGTTCAGGCAGCCTGGGACAAAACTAAACCACCAGGAAGTAAGAGACAGCTTCACCTCCAACACATTTTGACTCTGAACCCTTATGAGAGCTGCTTGAAATGCCACAGAACTAATCATTATATATTTGATTTTAGTGCAGATTTCTAACTCAAATGTTTGTCCTATTTTTAACTATATCCTCAGACATGGAAAGATTCAGGTGCTTTGTAACCAGCTCAGACATTCGCAATCTTGACCTTCCCACCTTTAGCTGGCATGTCTGCAGAGAAGTCCTAAGCATAATTAAAACAAAGACATGATCTGAGATTAATGGAATGCAAGAGCAAAACACGTAGCATCAAGAGCAGTTATGGTGGGCAGGTTTCTTCTTACTCCTTTTAATAGGAATCTCCTCTTGGAGATTTATCAGAAGCTGCTGAGAGCTTCTTCTCTGGCAAATGAGACCTGAGGCTTGTATTGCAAAGCACACAGCTGCTCATAGGCAGTCTTGTGGGCAGACTGAAAGGTCATTGAAATTTGCAGCAACACAAAGTTGTAGGGCTGAGCTTGGTATCACTGTTGTCCCCACTGACAGATGTGCCCCACACACTTCTGGCTGCCTGGGACAAACCAGATCTCCTGCCTTCCCTATCAGTAGAGTAGAGGGCATGCACCCACCCCCTCATGACAGCAGTGCAGCACCATGAGGACTCCCGTTCTTTGGGATCATATCATCACACCTCATGCATATGCACCCTGCCAGACACATCACCTCAGGTTAACAGTGGGCATCCCCCTAGATTAGGGATTCCTAGATTTCAGTGGGCTTCCAGTCTAGGGAGGGTGAGTATATTGAAGGTGGACAATCCTTTGTGGAGTAGGAGGGTTCAAGAAGTGCTGGAGTTGTACTCACTATGATGAGCAGATCTGCATGTGTCCCTGTGAAGACAGGGATGTCCATAGGCACTCGTACAGAATACGGCTTGTTCAGTCGCACCCCAAAGTTACGCTCCCCACTGAGGAGCAGGAGGATAAAGACCCCAATGTGCATCAAGCCCACTCGTGCTGCAAGGAGCAAAAAACAACAGGAAAACATGTCACAGTGAGGCCAGTGGAATTCTGTGAGGGGCAGTGAGGAGAGAGGAGAAACACTATGGGACTGATAAGAAAACTGCACAGACTAAACCATCCTGATAAGGGACATCCCACACACAGCTCCCTCCATATTCAGTACCAGTGTCCTTCCCAAGCACATCTGTGTTAAGTCTTATCAGTGTTAAGTCTTGGATGCTTTTCTTCATTATGTTCTTAATGCAAACCCGTCATCGTAGTCGTAAAGATCTGACTACTTCTCTCCACTACACCATGATGGAGTTATGCCTGATTTACTCCCATAGCAAGAGTAGATTGCTCATTTTTCCCTCTTCAGTGGATCAGGGACACAGTTTTCAACAAGAGCACTCAAAATGGAAGGAAGGATCTTCCTTCCCTATATTGCAGGATAGATGGTGTCCTGCTTCTAGCCTCTTACAAACATAAAAACCAATTAACTGGACAACTCCATGTCTGTAGAAGGTCAGGAACATGCATTCAAGATGCTGTCAACTGGTAGGGAGGAAGCATCTCAAGAATATTCTAGCTCAACTGTCAAGCACAAAATGTTCCAAATATTGAATGTAACCAACTTACACTGGTCTGCTCTGGCATCATTGAGAAAATACAGGATTGGGACAAGAATGTCCAGAACATCGCTGCTCTTCAGCACAAAGAAAAGGAATTTCTGGAAGAAAAGGGAGGATTTCAGACTATCATAAGCATGTACCCTGCACCATCCATAGGCCTCAGGACCGGCAGTCTCAAGTTAATCAATCTCTCAAGAACATTAGAAAAGTTTGTGTATGCACTACCTCATCAACTCCAGTGTTATTTGTAGAGTTATTATAGTACCTGCTGCAGAACCTGCTTCCAGCACAGACCTTCAGGAGCTGCAGCCCCTCTCCCAGGCTGTCTCTACAGCCAGACCCCCAGCCCCTGCATCAGTGGGGCTGATGACCACAGCACCCCAGAGCCACTGCCAGCTACCCACCACAGCCCTTCACCAGGTCTTGGTCCAGCCAGAATGACAACAGCCAAGCTGGGGTGAAATTTAGCAAGAAGCAGATCCACACCTTGTTGAAGTCACAGAGTTTCCAGAAGAGGACAAGGAGTTCCTGATGGAATTGTATCTTCTTGGCAGAGTTTGGCAGGTAGGTCTGAACCAGTGGGTTTGATAACAAGCGAGCCACTCCTTTCAGGATGAACTGGAAATCCTGCCAATAGATCAGGAAAGAGACCTTGGTGGGCCCAGGGCTAATGCAATCAGCATGAAATCAGACAGGGAGCAGTACAGGATGGGAATACATTACCTCTTCCCGGTGTATCCTTGAGAGGTAATTCACAAACAGATTGTCTGGTCCAGGAGGCTGCATTCAAAGAAAAGGAGGGAAATGCTTACTGGCAAGAAGGTATATTCAGGAAGTTGAAGTATAACCACCAATGTTTTTCACTTCAGCTTTCAATCCAGCTTTAAATGCAAGGAGACAGAGCACTGCATGGAATAGTAAAGTCATGGGCTTTTCACTTACATGCTCCTGATTTAAGTCAGTGATCAAAATCTAGTATTTTGGTCATGTATAGGTCTTTAGTGACCACAGGACTGAAGCAGGATTGGAACAGAGAGAGCAGAGTGCTGTGTCCTGCAAGGGGAGCAGCAGTGCTGTGTCTTACAGCTCAACATGCAATACAAGCTGGTGTGAGAGGACCCCAGTGAGATGAGGAGAGTAGCAAATACAGATTCTGGTATCACTCACATCCACATCATCCATGGCTGTGCCAGTGGTTGTGCCATCCACAGTGGGACTTGAACTGGTGGAGCTGTCATAGTCCAAGGTGACGATCAGCACCTGGGCCGCCTCCTCCACCAGCGGCTCGCGGTAGTCAGAGAAGAGCAGGTGATTGTAAGGAATCCCATAACCCACGGGGTCGTAGGCACAGACGACATTCAGGAGTGAGGTAAAGAGTGGGAGTGCATGTCTGAAGAGGAGAAAATGCTCTCAGAAGGCAGCATCAGAAAACAAAAGTCTCTGCTTTGGAGAGGGACAGGCATCTCTCTCCCCAGGAGCCTGGGACCATGAAAAAACACATTTTCTCTAACCTGTGACAACAGTCCATGACTGAGCAGCTCAGACCCAAGAGCCAAGCTCCCAGCTGGGCTCCTGGACTACTGAGAGGGGAGGGGAGGTGAAAAAGGCCACGTGGGCTCCCAGAGGAATCATGTGCAAAACGTGAAAACGAGAAAGGATCTCAAAGCTCTCTAGCCACTGGAAAGACAAAACTATATTTCTTCAGCCTCCAGCCAGGTTTGTACTCCCCTACAGTGAGGGTCACCTGAGGAGCTGGAAGTCCCAGAGGTACAATGTCACTAGAGGGCGGCATTCATCCGCCACCAACACCACATCCCCTTCCCAAGGGAACAGGGTCTACAGCAGGGAACGGGGCCTGCCATTTCCCCAGGGGCGGGGTTCCTTGTTGCGGCAACTTCCGTTGGCCCCTTGTTCGGCTTTTCTTTTTGTTGTTGGGGACCCTTTTTCCTTCGGCGGAATTCTTCTTGGGTGTACATGAGACAGGGACAAAGTAAAAGAACAGTCCCTGGATGTTGGAGGTAACAAGTCCTATGGTTACCCATTACCAAAACACTCCATGGAACAGATTTGAAGATATTTCTCCCCCTGGCACCCAGACCCCCACCCTTTACCCTCACCTGTTCTCTGTAGAGCAGAAAAACTGTACCCAGGGATTGGTGTTGCTGCTGTCTGAGGAGGGAGGCAGGTACATGGCCTCAGAGAAACAGGTCAGCAACAGCTTCAGCAGCTCTGTCCTGGAAGGAGAAGGAAAGGCCTGGAGCCATTCAGGAGCAGGGAGGAGGCACAATCACCACAACACGTAAGGAAGGCTCAGTCCCATCTAGAAAGTCCTTCTCAGGGAGAGCTAAGCCCATTTCATTTCCTTTCCTGGCACAAAGCTAAACAGAATTGCTGCCTTACAAAAAAGAAATCCAGTACACAGCTCCTTGGCATTTCCAGAACAGCAGTGTTTACCCAGTTCCTGCTGCAGACAGTCTGACTCCCACCTTACACTACTAAAAGCTACTCAAAAGGTCAGCTGGGTGTTTTTTTTCTGTGTTGCCAGTCCTGTTACCTCAGAAAGGAGCAAGCAGAAAGATCCTTGGGAATCTTGGACACTCAAGGAGGCAGAGAGCTCACCTCCCCCAGATCTCCCTCTCCTGATCCCAGTTTCTTTCCATTCTGCCTTTGCAGAAGCTCTTACCTGTTCAAGTCATGGATGTAGTTGGGCTGTGGAGAATGAGCAAAGCCCACTCCTGCCTCCCAGATGTACTCACAACTGTCAATGGAGTGGATATCTTCTGCTGTGTCCTGTGGGAGAAATAAGAGGTTGAGTCACAGAAGGCTGGAGCCAGAATTGGCAGCAATGCTGGTACATCCAAGGCAGTTCAGCCTCTCTAGGAAAAAAAGCCAGCAGAAAAGCACCCAGACACAGTTCACCCAGCTGAACTGTACAAAAGCACCCCCTTCCAGGCCTGAAAAAGCAGGTGCTGATGTCTTCAAAGAGCTCAGCCTTTGCAAGCAAAGGATAAAACACTGACAAAAAGTACTGTGCATGATGGAGGGAGCCCACATTTCCAACCATAATTTTAGGGCTGACTTCAGTGGGAATATGGGTCAGTCCATTGTCTCCATTGCCCATTGTCTCACAGTTCTTCCTCTTTACTCAGTGGTACTTCAACCAAAATCCACCATGACCTGTATGTTTGGGGCCACATGCTGCTCTGCCATGAACATAAGATGGTGGTACCCATCTCTCTGCTCTTAAGCTGCAGTCAGACCAAGCCCAGGGAGGAAAAGTCAGCTCAGCAAGGACTACAGAGGCTGCAGGCAGCAGACGGGCAGCCAGCAGCAAGAAACATAAATCATTCACAATCTCAGTGTCTAATTCCAGTTGCCCAGAATCCTGAAAAACCAGTCTGGCTGCTGCCAAGGGAAAAATCACAGGTGCAAGTGGTGGGGGGAGGCTCTCCCAGGAAAATCCATTGTCACCCTGACTTGTGCAATCCATCCCAGGTGACAGCACTGGACAGGAAGTCCATTTGTTTCAGCACCACTTACTCACAGCACAGCTCTGATTCAGCCTTGCCCCCTGAGCCCCAGGTGACAGATTACAACTCTCTTTCTAATACTCAGAAACCCCAGGCAATCAATTTAGTATTCAGATTTGTCACAGAATTTTGCAGCCATCAAACACTCCATGGTTTAGCATGCTCATTTTTAGTTTGTGTCAGATCTATCCCAAAAAGGTCCACTGTTTTATTTGATTATAGACTGAACCTACAAAAACCATGAGAGTCACTTGCAGGGAGAAAGAAGGAGGGAGATGCACCACAATCTGTTCTCTGTTCTTAGCACACCTGGTGGGATATCCCTGCTTCAGGAAACTCCTCTTAGGTACAGACAGTCACCACAAGGATCAGAACATATTTAAATGTCTTTGCTGCCACGATACAAAGAGGGAGAAGAGGTGGAAAGACACCACAGAGGCCATCTGCTCATTCAGATCACAGCACATGTGAGCAGGCAAACAGCTGCTTCCTGCGCCAGAATGCACCAAACTGCCAGAGAGAGGAACAAGGTGCTAAAGGTCTCCACTCTGCTGGCAACAACAGAAGAGCAATTGTTTGCCAGCACAACCACCTTTTCCTGAGGGGTAAGCTGTAGTGTGGGGGTAGTTGCCAGCCACTCCATTTGAGACTCATGCCCAGAACATCTGTTTTAGAAGGCACAAAGACCATACCAGGAACCCAAAATGATGATCGATATTACTCACTATGGGGTCAAGCTCAGCAAATCAGTGTTTTCCTGCCTGCAGGCTTGTAGGAAACTGCTGGGGTTTCCCAGGATCTCCCCCCCACCACACAGCTAATCTGCCTCTATGCAGATAATCTCATGATTCAACTTCCAACTCACCACCGTGCTCCTCCGGTGGCTCTGCACAGTGAAGTCAGGACAAAAGAGCAGATCTGTGACAGCGAGGAGCAAGGACTCAGCCAGTGGCCGGGCATTTTCATCATCTTCATCTCCCTGAAGTGACAAACAGGAGAGCATTGTCAGTTCAGGGTGAGCAAAGAACACACAGTAGCACCAGTATGTCACAGCACAAGAAGATACACTCCCCAAAAACACACAGGGAGGCAAGACATTACACCAGGAACAGGAGGGAACAGAAGGAACAAAGGACAAAAACCCAGATGGTACAGGAAAGAAATTTCCCCCCTGATGGTGATGACTGGACAGGAACAAGCTCTTTAATGACAGCAAACTGAGCAGACAAAGGCCTGGAGATGTCAGGGGAAAAGAAGAGTTGCACTGGGCACACCTTGCCACGTGGCTTGGCTTATTGAAGACAAAAGGAAAGAGAAGCATGGACAGAGAAGAGGGTTTTACATTCATGAAGGAGGGTGATTTGGATGGTGCATGGAGACAGCAATAGGGAGAAGCCAACCAGTAGCAATAAGGTATAAAACCCCTCAAAGTTCTTTCTGCATGGGCTGCCCAAAACGAGGTGACAGAACAGGGTGAGGCTGTGTGCATCACGCAAGGGGCTGCCCCAGCCTGCCATGGCAGCGTGAGCACAACAGTAAAGAGGATTGTGCCATCTCCAGCATTCAAAGAATCTCTCCAAGCATGCATGGCTACTCCTCTGCAGCTGTTGCCACGGGAAACCTTGCCAGATCCTGCCTGTCAAAGAGCATCCTGCCTGGGAGGACTTCCCACCACACACCGGTGCTGGAGGGAAAGGCAGAGAGCAGGAATGGCAGGAGCTTATCTACCTCAGTCAGGCCTCTGTCAGCCTGAGCACAACACACAGCTCTTCAATCACAGCAGGCAGCTATGGAGATAATGGTCTGTGTGGCTCTGAATCTGTCTTGGTGACAGCAGGGAGGATACCACAAAAAGAGCCTGGATGTAAGAACTGGCACAGAGGGGATGAATGGAGCCAGCGAAGATGCTTTGACTTGTGCTCACAGTCAGAGGTGAAATGACGACCATTAGGGTCCAAGGGGATTTCTTTTCCAAGAGTGATCTTTACTAAGAGTATCTCAACTGCCAGAAAAAATGTCCCTGCAGGGTACAGGTAACACCATATCCAACATGGTGACATACAAAAACCAGTAGATCTGAACACAATACAGACTCCCATAGAGGAGGGAGGAGCCATGGCTCCAGGAAGCTCTGCCATCCATCACTCCATCATGAAGCAGGTGAAGGACAATCAGAGAGATATTTACTGAGAGTCCAGGCATACCATCAACTTCAGTTCCCAGACAGAAAACAACCACCATACAGCAAAGCTGTTGCTCCAGATCAGATGTGATCCCAGCTTCCCTAAGACCTCATGGATGTATTGAGATCTATTGGTTATCCGAGCCTTACAGGTTAAATGCATGTGATTAAATAACCGAGCACACCAAACCACAACAGCTCCACCCACTCTCAGGAGGGTTCCCCAACACAGCACACATGGATTAGTCTGGATCACCTTGGGGTGACTTCACCACTCTGAGGCTGAGAAACTCTTTTCTAGGTGCTGAACAAAGTGGAAAAACAGGAGTAACAGCAGCCTGGCTGGATCAGAGCACCAGGCACCCCTGCATGCTCCTTCCCAAAACAAGTTCCTCCATTGTTAAGCTTCTCCAGCACTCCCTGGCCCCTGCAGGGATGAAAAGACTGACAACCACCACCCTCCCAACCGCACAAATCACAAAGCAGGACTAGCAAAGACTTCCCTTTTCATCTAGAACTTCCTTTTGATGTGCCCTCAGGTAAAAGCAGATTAGAGGTGACAGGCATAGACAGCAAGAGGTACCAGTTTATACTGTACCAACCACTTCCAACCCTTCATAACTGTCCCCAAAGACACTGCACTGCACTTAGACTCAGGAGAACCACATACTTCAGTACAGCCACACTGACCTGCAGATCAGAAACTCATAGGAGAGGGCTCTCCATGCACAGAGCAGCTGCTGAGGGAGGAAGCAGGCAAATACATGCTCCTGGTATAACTCAGTTGTGCTCTCAGTGCTACTATTCCTCCTGTTTGCAGAAGATCCTAAAGTACTTTCACCCCGTTCCTCTGAGGGATGCAAAAGAGCACTATTGTGCTTGCTCTGCAGACAAAGAAATGTGGGGAGGCTGAGACACTCCCCAGGGTTCTGCATTCCACTGACAGAGCCAGAAACAGAACCACTCTTTAACCACTCTTGCTCAGCTGTGGGCTTCATCTCCCAGGTTAGGCCCTGGCTAAAAGTGTATCGCTCAGGTCACAAGCAGGGTATTGAGTCACGATGCCAAGAGCTTCTCTGGCACTGTTCACTTATAAATGTGACACTGTAAAATCAGTGCAAACACCCTGTTGCATTTTGATTTGAAACTTAAATCAACTGTAATTAATGGAAGAAGGACACTTCAGTCTAAGAAAGTCATACAGCCGTCAGTACAGCTCTCATATTGACTAAGAGTCATACCTCCAGTTGTACTGGAGAAGCCTTTCCTCACATATCAGTGCTCTCCTACAGCTACACACACAAGTGAAACATCCAGAGGATGTAGCAAGAATCAAAGGAAGGGAAAGAATTTAGAAAGTGCCACCAAATTTCTGACCACATAGAAATAACTGGAATAAAGTTGCCCCCAAATACACATAGTGTCTCCTCACTGCAGCCTCCCCATCACCCTCCAGAAAGAAGAATAATTGACAAGAGACAGACCCCTCCTCGGCCAGCTCCAGGGACAGTTGACCAAAAGAAACCTCTCCAGTCTGGGTCCTCAAAGATGTAAGGCAGGATACGGGTGAGGAGTCGACAGCAGTTCAAGACAATTTGTCTTTCCTTCTCAGTGTGGCAGCCACTCTCTGCTCCCTGCACCAGCTTCTCCACAGCCTGAAGGAAACAAAACCAAGGAAGGCAGCATTAGCCTGGGCACAAGTTAGCAAGAGCTAGGCAGGTCGGTCCTGCTAGTGATGCCCTCACACAGACTTATAAGCAGTTCTTGGAAGTCCATTTGCTCTCAGTTTAATGGCACAGCTGCTGTCTGAAACTCTAAAAAAAACACGGTTAATGATTTTAAACAGACCTTCTTGAATTTCTGCTGTTCCACTGCAAGAAATCTCAAATGCCAGGGCTAATCCATGCAGCCAGCACATGTGTGGTGCCACGTGAGACAGACAGCCACAGCACCAGAAGGCTCCTTCCAGCACTGCTCCATGACACCATGCACTGAAAAGGGCAGATGAGATTAATCAGCTGCAGCAAGCACATGAGATTCAGGCAGGAAGGACCAAGGCAGCAGCACTGTGCTGCATCGAGTGAGGCACTGGCAGGGGATGATCACACAGAAACACACAGTCTGACAGTTCTGTCAGTGTGATTATAACAGGGACCTCTCCTGACTCAGGAGGTGGCAGCTAAGCTATTGCCTGTGTTATGTGTAGGGATACAGCCTCCAGCAGCATCTGTCAAGGTCCTGCTGCAGAAGAGGATGGTAGCCCAGGTTTCCCCACTGCCTCAGTGAACAGGACTACTGCTCTGGAAAAACCACCTGGGCTGAGACTCTGCAGCCCATCCAGTGGCTGCTGCAACTGCCAGTGGAGGGTCACTGTGCTTTTCAGAATAGATGTGGGTCTCACCAGGCAGCAACTACAGCCACAGGAGGTTTTACCTACAGATAGAAAAAAGCAGTCTCTTCCCTCCGCAGCTGCCCCTACTTGCTCTTACTCCCTGATCCCAAGGAGAAACAGAGGGGAAATGAAAGCCAAAACATTCAACAAGGATTCACCTTGCTGCTTTTTAATTCATGAGGTCATGTGTCCCTGCTTATTTTCATGGCAGACTGCCTGGGTCACTGACTCTGCCAGCCTGCGTCACTGCATTAATGGGTATTTAAGTGCTGTTTGTCCCAGCCTGTCACACACTAACTGAGCTGAACTGTGCAGCCTGAGTCTCCAGCCATGACTGTAAATGACATCTCTTCACAAACACACAGTACTGCTAAGTCCAGTGGCACCATTGCACATGGCACAAGTCAGGGCTCTCAGACTAGCAAAAGCCCTGCTAGAGGGGCTCCTATGACACTGATATCCCAAGATCTATAGCTCATGCATAAACAGTCCTGCAGTGACAAGACCTCCCAACACACCTGTTTCCAGTAGGGAGAAGAGAACATATTTTAGTCTTGGTTTTGAAAGAAAGAAGACAGAGAGTCAAAGGGGTTACAGATCTTCTAAGCCCTTCTCAATTCCCAAACTGCTCATTGCCAGAAGCCAATACCAGGGAAAAAACATTGCAGTTTTCCTCACGTTCATATTTTTTCTCACGTATCATCTACATGCATCTGTGTACAATTCACAGTCAGAGATACCTTCACTATGATTCAGTAAGTCTCATTCACATATTGTAGAGGAAGAAAGAAAAATAGGATGGCAGCAACTATTTAAAACTGGAAACGTGCCATTCCAAATGTTTTCAACTACAAATTCAAGGCTACTCTTGGCATGGCTCAAATCAGGAGCATTGTTAACACCTGCACTTTCCCAGGCAGAGTAAGTCTCAGGCTGTTGCTCACAGCTTGACAATTTGCCAAACCTGGCAGGGTAGGAAATGCTGTTCAATGTCCCTGTGCTCCATACAAGGACATGATAACAGCAGAAGCAGCATCAGGAATGTTCTGTTATCACAGCAGAATGAAGAAAAATCTTAAGATCTTCCTCAAACTTTACCCAGGCATTTGTGCAGAGATCCCTCTGGGATCTCTCAGCTTGAAACCGGACTGGTGCATGGTGAGGTACAATTAGGTACAAAGAACAGGATGTTTCAGCCTCCCCACAAATATTCAGCCTTGCTACAAAATCCCCTGAGCAAGAAGCAGTTTATAGAGTAGGTAAGACCCAAGAGGACAGAGTGAAACACAGGAAGGGGACAAGAGGAAAAAGGCCCCAGACTGATCAAACACCATAGCACAGCTATGATCTGTGCTAACCTATGAGAGGAACATTGAGAATTACCCTCAAGAGGAGACAGGGACAAGCTAGCATATTGTGTGGTACAAGGTACCTGTTATCCCTTGGAAACCACAGTGCTGTTGATCCAGGGACACCCTTGCTAGCACAGCTCAAAAGGAATAAAACAGCACCAAACTTACCTTGTAACACAAAGTTGCCAAATTTGATGGTGATTCTTCTCTCACTGCTCGGATCTCTGCAGCTGGTACAAGAGCAAAGACATCCTGCACTGAAGTGGCTGTGTCTGCCCAGAACTGGTCCCAAAAGGCATTATCTGTGGCCTCCACAGGCTGTGGAGAGATAAATGTTGTTATAGATGTGGAACTACCATTCCATACGATCCAATCATCAGCAATTATGCCTGGCTTGGGGATGGAATGAGGCAAGAAGAGGTTCAATAAAACATACTAACACTGGTTTTATATGTCAGCCTCTGTTTCCAGGGCTTTGGATGATTTATCTGCCAAACTGAATATTCCTTCAGACATACAGGAGGCTGCATGTTTGTCTGCAACTGCTGCCAGTAATCCAAGATCTTCACCACTGCACATGGGCCAGGCTCTCCTTGTGCACTCTGCCACCTTCGGAGCAAGTCAAGGAAGCCTTGAATGTGCACTGGAATTACTTCTGTTGTAACCAACATCTCGAGGAAGTAATCAGGGACATCTCATTAGGGCACAAACAGACCCATGGAACTGAGAGACCCACCTCAAAGCATAGATAAAATGCAATTGATTTTTCTCAATCAAATATTTATAGAGAACTGGGCTCAATGCAGCCAGTTGCTGCCAAGGCTTTGTTCTTAAAAAGCACTAAGTGTGCCATACAAAGAGGAGATGGAAGAAGGAGACCAAAGAAAACAATCCATTTCAAACCTGTGGTCTCAGAAGCTCAGCCCCCAACCCAGCCCTGGGAACACACCTCTTTCCACTACATTTTCTTCTGATACTTGCCAAGAGATAGGCACTGCCCAAACACAGCTACAAGTACTCATCCCATCCAGGGGTCCAGCTACAGGGGCAGGAAAAATACGTACCTGTTTATGACAAGCAGTGTGAAAGAGATGGATCCATGACTGCAGTTAGGAGAGGAAAATGTGAGCTTTCCCAGGAGTTTCACCAGGCATGGTGTGGGCATGCTTGGCAGGTCAGAAGAGCTGCTCACCTGAGCACCCCCAGCCCCTCCTGCCTGCGCCCAGCTCCAGAGCAAACAGCAGCGCTCAGGGCAATAATCAGCACCACTGGGTGGGTCTTGCATGCCAGATACGAAAGGGACAAAAATATGACTGTGTGTTTAATTTAAACAAGTCCTGCCCACTCCCAAATCTGCTGTAGAAGGCTGAAAATTTGTCCAGCTCTATGCTGTGTCTAAATGCAGCTCAGATGCCACTTGGGGGAGAATAGGTCATTCACAACTCCGACACAGAGAAGTGCTGCTGTGTGTCCTGTTTGCTGTCATCTCCTGAACTAACAGCCCCAGCCCACGGGCATGTGATGTGTCACCATCACTGCAGGCCAAAAAGTGAGAGGGGCCAGCCACCTCAGACTGGTACAGCAGGTTATTGCCCTGCAGCCTTTTGCCTTAATGCTTCAGTGCTGCTGGTCCTAGTCCTTCCAGTCATACAATGAACCAGCCCAAGCAACTCCCCAGTCTTTAAAAACAAAACCAGGAAAAAACCCCTGTGTGTTCAGACATCTTATTAAACTCAGCCCCTCGTGTTGAAAACCTATTTTTTTTTTTACCTGGACACCAAAACAAGACTCCACCAAACTTCTTCCCAAGGGAAGAGCAACTTTTCCCAAATGGTTCAAGACCACAGCTCCTAGAGGGAACCTGTAGGAACAATCCAAACTAATATTCACAGGCTGATTTTCAGCTGAGCACGTGAAAGAGCTAAAGCTCTTTGTAATCTGGGCATGAAATGCTTAAATAAAAGGAAAGCTATTTTGCACATCACATCTCTAATTGTACTCCTCAAAAAGAGCCAAGTATTTGGAAATCTGATCTATGTAATGCATGAAATACCCTACAAATCCTACACCCCATTTCAAACCACACACCACAGCCTCATGTAGAACTGCCACATGTACATCCTGGCTGCCTGCCACAGCCACTCCCACTGACAAGAGCACGCAGCAATTGCTGCTAATTGGGCATCATGCATAAATAATGCCTTCACTCTCATCTAGAGGGGAAGCAGAAAACCATTTCCCTCCAGTAGACACTGATCCCTTTACCTCCCACTAGCCTGAGGCCTCCTCAGAGGTTGAACACAGCCGCTGTTTTACAGACCGCAGCCCAACAGGGACTGAGGAACTCTGACTGCAGTGCCGTGGAGCAGGGAAGCACAGGGGCAGTTCCCTGAGCTGCAATGTCGGATGTACAGCAGCATTCATGTCTCTGCTGCCATCTTGGTAACCAAATTACACTAAAACACCGGTACCTTGCATTTTTAATAGCTGCAGCAAGTCAGCTCTTCATCAACAGATGGTATCCCATGTACAATCCTGGGACATGGGTTCAGTATTGAGTCACTCACATCCCCACTGCCCTCTGTCTTAATTACCAGCCTGGCATCATGAAGCTACTCAATCCACACAATATTCATCTCCTTGATAGAACATAACTGGCTGTTTTTAAGGTGATTGTTTCTGCATGCAGCATCTCTGGAGATCCAAATATCCATTTCCTCAGCTGAGCTCACTCAACAAACTGTATTCAGCCTCACAGAGGAGGGAAATACAGAGACCTAGATCAGCCTTGTTCACCAGCCAGGGATATCCTCATTTGGAAATGTCAAGATTTAGGTACAAGTGTTGGTACAGCACGCGCTGCAATCACAAATCCCAGAGCACTCCTAGCCTTGACAGTGCTTCAGCCAGAGAGCTCATGAGGAGCTGAATCTTCAGCACAGGTAAGGAAGAGCCTGATGCTCCTCTGGCATAGTGCAGACAATCAGCTCTCCACCAGCAGAGCAATGAGGGTAAGAATTGAGGAATCAATTCTTGACTCTACTCTGGAAACACAACTGACACACTGGAGAGCAAAGGAACCTCCTGACCCACACACACCTCATGGCAGAGGCTGCTGAAGGTACAGAGCTGACCGACAGAGAGACTCTGATGCCCAAGCCAGGCTCCACACCACAGGGGTGAGGTAGCTGGAGAGCAGAATGTTGCTGAGGACACAGTGGGCAGGTCCAAGGTGGTGTGACAGAGCAGGCAAGAGGGAGACTTTTACCTTCAATTAAGACCTCTCACCTGCACACTGGCCAAACAAAGGTAAAACCAGTCATTCTGGACACCTCCATTCTTTGTTTACTACTAGTTGTAAATGTTGTGTTTCAGGTTCTTTGAAGCACACCACACACACACTGCAGAAGTTAGGAAAAGAAGACACTCGGTTTGCAAGCCTCGTGCCAGTTACTGAGCAGAGAATTACAGCCTGAGCAGGCAATCCCCAGACAAACAGGATACCTCAGAGGAAACAGGAAAACAGAGAGGGCCTGACCATGTCCTAAAAACAGGAAAAGTTTCCAAAGCACAGTCTCGCCTATTTGTTACTGTCCTCAGCCTAACACCAGCAACCACCTTCACTTTCTCTTCACACAAACTCTGGCAGTGTGTGTTTGTGTGTCTGTGTGTTTGTACCTCCTCCCAACCAAGAGCTCTCTGTGCTTATGACTTAAATCAAATGTCCATTCCTAACAATTCCTCCAACGGGCCCCCACTGGAGGACTGCCCTAACTCTAAGATTGCTGCAGATCATCAGCAGAGAACCAAGGGACAAGCAGCCACTAGCCTTGCTCAGTGTGTTCTCGTTTTGCTTCTTGCCAACATGCCAGCTAAGCATCCCACCAGCTATGGCAGCAACCCTTTGGAGCAGGGGCTCTCCTTTTTCTTGGGCTCAACAGCAGAGCAAATCCCTCGTCCCTGCCCCAGGTTTCCAGCCAGTACTGCACAAGCTCAGGTGATCTGTTAGAGCAGCTGCTCCTTTCCACCCCAAATGTGGCAGAGCTGTGGTGTGTCATCACCATTCATGCAGCACCTGATTGAGCTTTAGACCAGGTAACCCTGTAGGGTCAAGGATTAGTTTGAGGAAATTCACACATCTTTGTACCATCTGTTTGTGAGACACTGCGAAAGGAAAGCCTGTGGACAGACTTATTCTAAATATATATATATAACTAGTAAGATTTTATCCCTCTAGCCAAGGACAGCACCTCTACACAGGCTTCAGAACAATAATAACTTTTTTCTATAGGATCTTTGCAGTCAGCAAATGAAACTTCGTCTACCACCAGTTCTCTACTCTCACAGCAGAGCCAGTGTTGCAAAGCAAACCGGACAATGGGATTTGTACAAGTCTGGCAGGGAAAGACCAGGACAAGTCAGCTGTGTGAAGTGTTAGTTAGAGCTTTGCTTTTAAGACAACTTTGCTTTTGATCAACCTGAGCCTCTTGGACAGCTGAGTCAAGCTTGAACATTGTAAGAAATGGTCTGCCAGGGACCAGCCTTTCTCCAAGCATAAGATGTGCTTTTATCAGACTCAAGCTAACAGCCCATCGTACTCCTGGATTTCCAAATCACGGAAAAGGAAACGACTGGGGTTTGTCCCTCATGTTTGATTCTTCCTGTCTCTTTAAAAGCAGAGGCATAGCTCCCATTAAAATCTAACAAGCTTGTACACAAGATCAAAATTTCTTATCTTCCAGCTGGTTGCTGGCAGGAACCCCAACTGATTGGGAAAAGAAAAGGGGGTCCTCCAGCAGTCAGAGCTCCCAGACCGGCAATTGACCGGCCCTGCTGAGCTGTCATATCCACAATCCACGTTCCCTTCATCTGTTAAATAGGCAGCACTTTTATGGGCAATTTGGGAGGGCTCACACATTCTCTATTATGAAGCACATCTGTTTCATTATCAAAAGGACGGGCCCTACCAGTATAATGTGTGCAGTGTAATGTAATATATACATATCATATAAAAATCCTAAAGACCATTTCTCCACGTGTGACTATAAAAATACATCTGTGGCATAAGTTAATTTCTTCCTTCTGGTAATACTGCCCTTTTTAATCACTGAAATAATTCTGAAGTGATTTTTCTTTTTCTTACACCTTTAGAGTTTCTCTCTGGCGGTTAAAAAATCAATTAAGTCAATTCCATTTGTGTCCAGACTTGGTTCCACTTTCAAATTCTGGGCTCCACGTGTGCTGTAAGTATTCAAGTGTTATGTTCCTTACAGATTTATTTAATTTTTTTTAATGCTCACATGAGAACACTCGTTTTTAATTAAGAAAAGTCCGGATATTATAAAAACTTATTTTTAAGAAAAATTAACTTCTGTGCCAACTCTAAACGTTCACCAATGAGTGAACAGTGATTTTGGTTCAACCACTTCTTCCCACCAGAGCCTTAGGAAGACCTCACAGTGCATTCTGAGCTCAGAGTTTCACGTTACACATGATTTGATGAAAATCTCTTTGTCCAGCTCCCTAATGTTAGAGGAGAAGGCTGCAAAACAGGAGACAGGCTGCTGAGGAAGCAAAGCATGTTGTGAACCAATAGCTTGGAAGGATTTGGCTCTGTCCATTACTGCAGCCTGGTTTTGGAACCAGGATCTCATGGACCAGGAGGTTTTGCTGCTGGTAAGAGATCAGAAGGCTCCAGGAGAGCCCAGTCACGCATTCTGCACAAGCAAACACTGGTGCCCTTCTACAGAATGTAAATAAGGGAGTGCCAACACCCCACCCTTTTCCACATGCAGTCAGTCTCACCTATATCACAGAGACGTGAAATTAATCCAGCCAAGAATGAAGCTTTTACTCCTTCCTTTTCATTCCAGGCCCCAGTGAACCTTCTTCCCTTACACAGGCCGATAAACCAGGGGAGGGGAGCACTCTTGCCCGGGCTGCTGATCCAAGGGATTGGCTCACAAGATTTTCTTTGTGAACAGCAGACTGGGCAGAGCCCTGTAGGCCTGATTTACCACCCCTCAATCTCACTTTATAAGCACATTTCCCCACAAAGGAAGGACAGCCCAAAGCTGAGGATACTATGAACTATTTGGCATGCAGAAGAGACTTCGGAAGAATCCCTTAAAACATTAATTCTCCCACTTCTCTCTTTACCTACATTCACAATGAGTGGCTTTTAAGAATATATTCACAAAAGCCATTCTTTAGCAATGTAGATAAATGTGATACTGCTTTAAGAAGTATAAACATGTTTTTTCCAGTCTCTTCCACAGCCTTATGCATCTATAATTCAATTCCCAGTAGTAGCCTCTGTCTCTTGAGTTTTCAGATTTGCTCCTACCACCCTTTTCATATCCTTTTCATGTGAATTCATTCCATGTCATTAACTATTTTTCAGCCATCACCCCCACGTTTTCTTAGCAGCTGTTATTGCCTTACTTCTAAAGGTGGATCATAAGAGCTGTTCTCCATTGTAGCTCAGAAGAACACGAGATTTGACTTCTCCATGGAGCAAAATCCCTCTGCTCCTTAGACAGAAGGCCAGGCTACTAATTTTCTGCCAATGTGCTGCTGCTGCTGGGCACTTCACTTAAAACAAAAACCAAGCAAGCTCCCAGGACAGGCACAACATATGTCAGACCTCTAGACAGCGACCCTCCCTTCACACAGCCCTTTCACTTAACTCCTTCTCCACCTCAGCCTGCAGAAATAAAGCATTAATTCACAAATCAGAGATGGAAACCTCTGCTGCCAACAGCACAGCTGCCCAACAGCCCTTTCCATCAGATATTACCTAAAAACAGGGCAAGCTTCTCCACCCATTATGCGCGGGGGTGGGGGCAAGGATACAGAAAAGGGATCAGCGGCAAACCGTGTGATGTAAACCCGCAAGCGGAATACATCAGGAGCTGTGGCCATCCCTTACGGCAGCAGCGTCTGCTCCGTTAGCACAAGACGCTGTTCAGCAAGGCACAATGTCACCAGAGGCGGTGACAGGGCCCGGACACGTCTGGCAGTGCCCCTCCACAGACCGGCGGCACGGTGATGGGCGCAGCCTGCCCGGAGCCCCGCCGGCCTCGGCGCCCGGCCCGGCCGGGGGAGCCCGGGCAGGCCGGGCGG